ATGTGATGTACAAGCAAGTGGATGGTGTGGCGATGGGATCTCCTCTTGGTCCCGTCCTCGCCAATATATTCGTTGGTTATTGTGAGTGCAAGATTGATGAGTCGCTTTGGCCCGCGTTCTACGTGCGTTTTGTTGACGATTCGTTCACGCATTTTGACAGTGTTGAGAGCAGTGAATTGTTTCTCGATGTGCTCAACAGCCTACATCCTTCCCTCCGCTTTACTTGTGAGCACGAGCAGTCTAGTAAGTTGTCATTTCTAGACGTGCTTTTAGAGAAGACTGGCTGTGAAATGTTGACTTCTGTGTATCGTAAGCCTACGTTCACCGGTCAGTACATTGCCTTCGATTCATATTGTTCGTCTCAATACAAGGTCAACTCAGTTCGTAACGTCGTGGACCGTGCGAAAAGTATTTGTTCGCCCAGTAAGCTGCAGGCCGAGCTCGATTTTCTTCGATCTGTTTTCTTGAAGAATGGCTATCCGGAATTCTTGTTGCGTAAATTTCTGTCCATGGAGCAGAAACCGAAATCGGTGCTCATTGGTCCACCTCGCTGTCCCGTCTATCTATTTTTGCCATGGAAGGGGCAGGAATCGATCAAAGTGTGTCACGAAGTCAAGTCTATCGTCCATCGTACTTATTATGCAGTACATTTTGTGCCAGTCTTCACAACAATGAGTGCGTTCACGGTGCGGAAGGACGTCCTACCAACCCTCCACCTCAGTCATGTTATCTACAACTTCGAATGCCGACATTATGTTAGTCGGTATGTTGGTAGGACTGATAGCACCTGAACGCACGTATCAAACAACACACTCCACTTCACATCCTTCCACCCAGTGCGCAATCTGAGAGGCCCAAACGCGGGAGGCCTAGGAAAAACCCATCACCTAGACGGCAGGATAGTTCCCTGCCGCTGTCTGCCGCTCCCCCTCTGACATCTGTGTTGGACGGGCTTGAGCTTGGCAGCTCTTTGGAGGTGCGTGCGGAACCGCCATTGGTGCAGCCCTCGGGTGTGCCTAAGTCTGTGCCTCTGGGTGCTTTGCATGGGGCTGTGCCTCGAGTGGTGACAGCACCTCTGCCTCCCCCTGACCCTCCTCCTTCGAGGTCTGTGTTGGTGGGGAGCACCCGCGGCGGTCGATTTGTCCCACCGGAACCAGAGCTGGATTCAACAGAAAGACCAACAACCATGGCAGCAACAACAACACCAGCTTCACATCCAACAACAACACCAGCTTCACATCCAACAGCAAGAACAAATAATCCACAAAACAAAGCAGCAAATGACAGACCACGGAGATCTAAAGCAGATTACAACCGGACCTATGAATTCACGGTAAAAATACAAAGGAAACAATCGGAAAGGACGACGACTGACATGAAGGCAACGGCATTCATGGTTTGCGTGGGTGGTGAAGGTGAGACGCAGGACGATGCAAGTGATGAGGAGAGTCAAACCGCGGTGGATGACGGAGCAGGTTCTGATTCGGACAGTGAGGGAGAAGGTGAGCTGAGTGAGGGTGAGAGTGAGTGTGAGGCTGTGCGCGTGAGTCGAGATTGTGTGCGTCCGTCTCGTAATAATAGGTCTTCAGTATACAATCATTTGGTTTCTAGTACTGACTGTTGTCGTACTTATTCTGATTCCTGTTTTTCTGTTTTGTGCCGTGCTCGTCATGGTTATCTTTTGCAGTTACAAGTTTTGGAAGCTGTTTGTCAGCGCATTCATAAGCCGAATTTGTGTGTCCAGAAAGATAGTGTTATTACCCTAAAATTGTTCAAATAATGTTCTGTTGTGTAGTGTTGCAACGTTGTTGCCACTTGTGCCTAAATTTGTTTTGTCACCTTCTTGTTTATTATTGTTATTATTATCATTAGTTCTCACTTTTTTTATTTTGTTGCTGATACACACTTGTCACGCTTAGTTCTTACTTGTATACCCTTGTTTTCTGCACACTTTTGTGAGAAATCGCACCTAGATATTCCAGTGCTGTCATTGTATCGTGTCACCCTACCTTGATTGCTATATTATTTCCTTTGTTCTCATTTTGTTCTTTAGTACAACGGTGATTCCTGAAGAGTGTTGTACGAAAACTTGTTCGAATCATCTTTTTTTTTCATTACCTTTTTCTTCTTACATGTATTTTTCCTTACCCTTTAGGTTGTTTCTTGCATCGTCTCCATCGCTTACATTGTTAAAATAAAGTAGTCCACATGTCGCTTCAGCTCGTCCTACTTATTGCCATATTAAAATTATTGTCTCCTCGTCGAATTTTTAAATTATTATTATTACTACTATTATTCTCTTATCCGTCCCGAATGGGACTCACGACGGCAGAATTGACTGTCAGCATGTGTGGGTGAGAGTGGGAGAACGAAATGAAAAAGAAAAGAAGAGTCTTGTAATAAAGGTCAAATTTAAGAAGAGCAGCACTAGACTAGCTGTGATTTTGGTGTGGACACACATGACCGACTGTGATGATCAATGATTTCATTTCATTTATCTTATTATAGCTATGAATAGGATGAAGGCCGCAGACATCACGCAACTACGTTACTTGTTTGACATGTATTTACTGTGTATTCTATAACAAAAAATATTATTGAAAACCCATAATCGATTTTCTTGTTCCTATCATCAGTGGAAAAATACGGAACTAAGGATACAACCAAAGAAACTGAAGTTAAGCACTGTAAATGGAAAGGTGTTAGAAATAACAACAAGATACAAGTGCAATAAAACCACTAGAGGAAACGCAAAAAGGTAACAAGATTACATAGCATCCCATTGCTTTGTAAGTTGCTAATCCCTTCCCACTTTGTGTACGTGCTCTTCATTTTCTTTTTTCTCTTCTTCCGTGGTTGGTCTCACCCTCTCCTCAATTCAATTAGCTGTCTTGACGTGCCACGAGGTGCAGAAATAAATAAATAAATAAATAACCAAAGGCACTTCGTTTAGCGCCTTCTCGCCTTTGGTTACGTAATCTTGTTACCTTTTTGCGTTTTTTCATGTTGTGAAGTCCCGCGGCTGGCGGTAGAGGTGTTTAAACGCTGTTCGTGTTTTGTCAATTGTATCCATGGATCTCGCAATTTCATCCTTGATGAAAGTCCTTTCAATTGAAAGGGACTGGTACGCTTTAGCCCGCTGTCCCCTCTTCTGAATTGCGCCACGACAGACGCCGAACTCCAAGCATTGTTTGAGAAAAGCAACATTAAACGCAGTGCACCTACAAACATAACGCTTGCGAAACACATTATTCAGACATTCAGTCTGATCGCGAGTGTATCTTCGTTTAAAGTAATTAAATAACCGACGAGGAGACAACAGTCGTAAAATAGCAATGAAACATATTAATTGTGCACTCATAACCATGTATAAATAATTAAATTGAAACAATTCCAGAACGTTTTCGTGTGACTATCAACAGTGGAACATCGTGTACTATTTTGTTGCGCACGTTTCTTTAAAAAGCAGTTGTAGGTGTTGGAAGCTGTATATATTCGCACACGTGACCCTGTTCTATGCAAGCAAAAAGAAAATGTTGTAGCACTCACACTTTTTAAATACGCACTCACCAGTTTTGTCCACACGCACTCACAGCTGCCACATTTATCTACTGCTACCATTCTCAGATACACTGCAAAGGTTCACACTGCACGCGTTATGCATAACCGCTAGCTGTGCTGCGTTCTAATGCTTCTTTTCATATTCTAGCTATATAACTGGTTGTTTTAGTGATTCTTATTATGTGACGATGTTCCACTGATGATAGTCACACGAAAACGTTCTGGAATTGTTTCATTTTAATTGTTTATACATGGTTATGAGTGCACAATTGATATTTTTCATTGCTAAAATTCAAGTATATTTTCTCTCTCTATCGCGGTGCTTTTTGTTACTCCATTGTCGTGAGTTCCCTTTGCAACGTGGACGAGAATTATTATTATTATTATTATTATTATTATTATTCAACGCAATAAATAGAGTAAGCTGCGCACTCAGTACAAACACCATTAGCAAAACTTGTTTTCATGTATAGAAGCTTGTTCCTCAAACGTTTTCGTGGCCATCTCATCAGAAGGATTACTGGCAAATCAACATTAGTTCTAAACTCAATATATATACGCAAAATGCAAGTAATAATTTTGACCCTATCTAGCGCGAGAAATGTTGAAAGAAACATTACATCAATCAACGATATCAGGTGAAAACAGATGAGATAAATTCACCACTAGAAAGTAACCATGCAACCTCGAACGAGAACTATTGATCTAAATTCACAAACAATTTCAACGTAAACAAATTCTTTTTCTGCCTACACAAGATCGGCTTGGTGGTACAAATGTAGATAGCCTCCAATACACGCAAATACGTGAACGAGACCAAACGGAAAAGCAATCATCAGTATAACTAGAACTATAACTAATCGTGAGTCAGTCAAGTGTCGAGTAACGTCGGCGGATTAGCGCGAGCTCCGGTGTGGGGAGCATACCCTTTCCTAC